CTTTAGCTGAAAAATAATTCCATATTTTCAGTCTATTTTCTTTAGCTAGATGTAGGATATTTAGCTTTAGTTTCTTAAAAACGTGAGCGTTTATGATTTATGTCCTCTTATTTCCAAACTGGATGAAACCCTTTCACAAAGCAGAACACATGTAAAGTAGAAACATTTCCGAAGTGCACAGAAAAAAAAAAAAAAAAAAAATGCCAGCACACAAACTACTTACAAAAACGTAAATATATTAAAAACCAATTTTTGTTTCTGCTAACAGCTAGAATATTACTAAAATAATATTAAGCACTATGACAATTATTTGAGAACATCATGAGTAAAAATGATTTTGGGGGAGCTACAAAATCAATTAGAGTATTTCAATGTATGTATGCCTATATGTGATCATGTGTTTTTATGTGCACATGAGTGAAGGCTAGAGGCCAACTTTGAGTGTCCTTCCTAAGAAAGCCACACTGTTGTTTGAGACGGGGTCTTTCACTGGGACCCGAGTGTCACCAACAGGGTGGGCTGGCTGGCTGGCAACCCCCAGTGGTTCTCCATTTTCCCAGCGCTGAGGCTCTGCGTGCACACCGCAGCATCTAGCTGAATCTGGGGACTGAATTCAGGTCCTCCTAATTCCATGGCAGCACTTCATTGAGCCAGCTCCGCCGCCCCTAGGTATCTCCCTTCTTATTTCTCATTCTAGAGGAACAAGAACAAAATAAGATATTTTTCCACTCTAATTATCTCGTTATTTTAAATATTTCTTTAATGTTTGGACAGATTTTTTTAAAAACTTGTAAATCATAAATCAATGTTTTGAGTTAGCTATGAAAAGTACAAAAGAGCTTTATCAGTTGAAAGCAATTAATTACCCATGTAATTAAGAAACATTTTACATCTGATAAATATTTTATGTGTAGGATGCACTTATATTTTATATTTTTAAATAAAGAACTATGTCACACACACACACAAAAACAGAGACTGGCTTTACAAGTTTAATATATTTTAAATATAAACATACATTCAAGTAGCACATTTAAAAATAATATAATAGATTTCTATTTCTTAATCTCTAGTCTTAGCCTCAATGGTACACTATTAACTTATTAACTAAAAATATATTACTTAATGTATCCACCCAATATTGTCAATACCATATTTTCTATACTGTAAACTGTGTTTTAAAGCAACATTGTAAAATATCTGAATTACAAACAAGCCACAATGCTTTGAAATTACTAACAATAAACTTTTGCTTGAAAGCTACAGATGGTGCCTTCGTAAATGGTGCTTTATGAATGTTTTAAGTCAACTTGTTACAGATATCACCATGGAGCTTACAGAAGCAGTTAAGAAATGACTGACCTGAAGACCCACTCCTCAAAAAGTCAGTGTGTGCTGGAGAAAGACCTTAGTAGCCAGTAACCATTCCAACAGAGATAAAAATAAATTAACATCAGAGAGGAGAGCGTGTGTGTGTACACACGTGTACACACAAACCACTTTCACATCACTCCAGAACCTGACTTATCATACTTATTCATGCTTGGAGGGGGGTTTTGTAGAAAAACGCAAATATATCCATACTTATCGCCCTGCACAGTAAAGTCCAAGTGGGTCAAAGACCTCAACATAAAACCAGACACGCTAAATCTGTTACAAGAAATAGTTCAAAGAAATGCTTTGAACGCATTGGCACAGGAGACAACTTCAGAAATCCCTTTGTAAGATCAGGTTTTCATTGAGCTTACATGCAAAAATACAAAAACAGTTTTTAGCTGCTTTAAAATGGCGATTCTGCGCATAGAAGACCCAGAAATAAACCCACACACCTATGAATTCTCAATATTTGACAAAGAAGCCAAATCCATTCAATGGAAAAAAGACAGCATCTTCAACAAATGGTGCTGGACCAACTGGATGTCTACATGCAGAAAAATGAAAATAGATCCATATCTATCACCCTGCACAAAACTAAAGTCCAAGTGGATCAAGGACCTCAACATAAAACCAGATACTCTAAATCAGCTGGAAAAAAAAGTGGGAAACAGCCTAGAATTCATTGGCACAGGAGACAACTTCCTGAACAGAACACCAACAGCACAGGCTCTAAGAGCAACAATCAATAAATGGGACCTCATGAAACTGAAAAGCTTCTGTAAAGCAAAAGACACTGTCATCAAAACAAATAGACAGCCTACAGATTGGGAAAGAATCTTCACCAACCCTTTATCTGACAGAGGGCTAATATCCAGTATATATAAAGAACTAAAGAAGCAGAAAAGCAACAAACCAAGTAATCCACTTAAAAAATGGGGAACAGAGCTAAACAGAGAATTCTCGAAAGAGGAACGTCGAATGGCAGAGAAACACTTAAAGAAATGCTCATCCTCATTAGCCATTAGGGAAATGCAAATCAAAACGACCCTGAGATATCACCTTACACCCATCAGAATGGCCAAGATGAAAAACTCAAGCGATAGCACATGCTGGAGAGGTTGTGGAGAAAAGGGAACCCTCCTCCATTGCTGGTGGGAATGTAAACTGGTTCAACCACTCTGGAAGTCAATCTGGCGCTTTCTCAGACAACTAGGAGTAGTGCTACCTCAAGACCCAGCTATACCACTCCTAGGTATATACCCAAAATTTGCTCAAGTACACAACAAGGACATTTGTTCAACCATGTTCATAGCAGCTTTATTTGTAATAGCCAGAACTTGGAAACAACCCAGATGTCCGTCAACGGAGGAATGGATACAGAAACTGTGGTATTTTTACACAATGGAATACTACTCAGCAATCAAAAAGGAAGAAATCATGAAATTTGCAGGCAAGTGGTGGGATCTAGAAAAGATCATTCTGAGTGAAGTATCCCAGAAGGAGAAAGACAAACTTGGTATATACTCGCTTATATAGACCTACAAGACATGATAAACATAATGAAATCTACACACCTAAAGAAGATAATCAAGAAAGTGGACACAGGCGAAGGTGATTAATCCTCATTTAGAAAGACAAATGGGATGTGCATTGAACTTATGACAGGAGTCTATCACAAAAGGCATCTGAAAGACTCTACCTAGCAGTGTTTCAAAGCAGACACTAAGACTCATAACCAAACCCTCGGCAGAGTGCAGGGAATCATATGAAAGAAGGGAAGTTAGTATGATATGGAAAGGATAGGAGCTCCACAAGGACCAAATATATCTGGGCACAGGGTCTTTTCTGAGACTGACACTCAACCAAGGACCATCTATGGATATAACCTAGAACTTCTGCTTGGATGTGGCCTGTGGTAGCTCAGTAACCAAGTAGTTTTCCAAAGTAAGGGGAACACGGACTATTTCTAATAGGATCTCAAGGGCAGGCTGTTTGACCCCCACCCCAGGGGAGGAGCAGTCTGTTAGGCCACAGAGGAGGACTTTGCAGCCAGCCCTGAAGATACCTGATAAAACAGGGTCAGATGAAAGGGGAGGAGGTCCTCCCCTATCAGGGGACTTGGAAAGGGGCAGGGAGGAGACCAGGGAGGGAGTGTGGGGTTGGGGAGGGAATGAGGGAGCGGGATACAGCTGGGACACAGAGTTAACAAAATGTAACTAAAAAGAAAAATAAAATAAAAATAAAAAAATTAAAAAAAAAAATGGCGATTCTGTCAAGACCATCCTGTGATTTTTTTTTCTTCAGTTGAATGCAAGTGTTCTCAACCTAAATAAAATCCCCTGCATCCCATCCTCTAACAAGGCCCACTCTTAAAGGCCAGTGAAAATAAAAGGCTGCGTTGGCATCACCAGTTCCAGCACATTTGATGCATGAAGCGACTCTTGTCTGTAGTGGGGGAAAATGGGGTACATACAAATACTTCTTTACTTTGGACTTGGTCTTAAACAAGAAAAAAAATGAAACAACGCTTCAGCAGTAGTGCTATAGACAATGGCTGGGTCTGATTTATTCGAGGTTAGGTTGTACTGTCCGTTTGGAAGCACGTAGACATAGACTCAAGCCTGTTCCCACAGAATATCTGAAGCTTTCACCTTCTTAGAAAAAAAAATCTGCAAATCAGAAGCAAGATGCACCAGAAGCAGTGGAAGAGAGGGAACAAGATGGGAGTCTACTATGGAGGGCCCTCTGAAACACTCCAGCCGACAGGGGGTCAAAGCAGATGTAGAGAGTAACAGCTAAACTTTGGGCAGAGCATGGGGAGTCTTATGGAAGAAGGGGGAGCGGGATAGAAGGACCCAGAGGTGACAGGAACTCCTTGAACAAAGCTAAAATCTCTGAGCCCAGAGACTGATGCACCAACCAAGGACAATAAGTGGAGAGGACCTAGACCCTCTGCTCAGATGTAGCCCATAAGCAGCTTAGTCTCCATGTGAGTAAGGGGAGCAGGGGCTGCCTCTGTCATGAACTCAGTTGCCTGCTCTTTGATCATTCGCCCCTGGTGATGTGACCTTGTCAGGCCACAGAGGAAGAGGATCCAGACAGTCCTAAAGAGTCTTGATATGCTATGGGCAGATGGCAAGGGAGGAGAATTCCTAATTTCAGTGGACTAGGGGAAGGAGATAGGAGGAAGAGGGAGCGTGGGACTGGGAGGAGTTGAGGGAGGAGGCTACAATTGGGATAGACAGTGAATAAATTGTAAAAAAAAAAAAAAAAAAAAAAAAAAAAATTAAAAATTAAAAATGACAAAGAAGAATCATGCTCCCAGAGTTCCAATTCCATTATCGAGAACAGTTAAAATAATTATGCAGTCTTTCAGCTTCTGTGTCCTAATTACTGTTTACTTATTCCAGTCTAGTTCAGTATTTTACTTCAGCCAAAGAACAAATGGTTAAAAAAAAATTTTAGTCAATCTATTTTTAAAATGTTTGATTGTTAGTTTCTAAAACTTTATTTCTAAATATTCTATTTTAGTTTTCATTGGTGCAATATAACCAAATGTACTAATTTCCCTTCGACAACATTAAACTTTCAAAGGAGTTATATTTAATACCAGGAAAGTATTTATAATACTATTGGGGAAATACTGGCATAGAATTAAACTGGACTCAGCACACTCATCAAGAATTAGAGTAGAAATCTATTATATGATATGGGAACCTTTAAAAATAGATTTTACTGATATGGCATCCAAAAAGAATATATATTTTTAAATAAATAAAATGTGGATATACATGATACCATATAGAGAGAAATGGAATGACCCAGACTGATTTTAGGAAATTCCCCACTTCCCTTCTTTTATTGCAGTCATAAACATAATACAGATCTGTTTCGTTATTGCAACAATTACTTCGGGCTAGTGGCAGCCACACGAACGTACTACCATATTTCTGTACTTCTTCAAAATGACGTTGGAGCTGTCGTCAAAGTACAGGACAGAAATGGCATTTAGTTTGGTTGGAGCACAGCAAGGCTTGGGGACGTGGTCAGGAAACATCAGGTGTACCTAGCAACGAAAGAAGAAAGAAAGAAAAGGTGTCTTTTGGAGAAATGGAGTAGACGCTTTATCTACAGCTTTAGGAATGTGATGCTTATATATTGTGACTCCCTGACAAGTGTATTCATCGTCCGACTCCTGGGGTAAGGGCTGGTTAACAGGACGTATTCTCACCTGACAGGCACTGATAATCAAAACAACAGTTCTATGTATAAGCAGTCAATCAAATAAGGCAAGCTCTGTATGAAACATTCCGCAGAATTTTTTTTCCCCCGAGGGAAAAGCATAAAGATTTGCACTGCCCTGGTTAGTATGGACCTGGTATCTTCTACGGACACTGCCAAATTAACAGAGGCTGTGGGCTCACGTCAGTGAAGACACGCTCAGAATACAGAAAGGTTTAAGTCTACAGAATATTGTAATAGGCGAAACGATACATAGCAAATGTTGTGCCAACTCTGACTCTTCCGTGGCGAAGTTAAGCTAAAAACCACAACGAAATAAAATCTATACTTGTTTTGCCTGCACTTGGGACTCTTTTCCTCTTACTGGGTCGCCACAACCAGCCGTGATATGAGGGTTTGTGTCTGGTCTTGTTAGGTCTTGTTATAGGCCGTGTTTGGTGGATACCCATGGGAGGCTTGCTCTTTTTTCTCTCTCTCTCTCTGTCTTCCTTTTTTAAGGGAAACAAAGGAGGAGTTGGTCCTGGGGAGAGAAGAGTTTAGGGCAGGATCTAGGAGGAGTGCAGAGAGAGGAAACTGCCTTGGGGATAGAATAAGTTTTTTTTTTTTTTAATCTATTACTTTAGAGCAATGATTTCAACTCTTCTTCATAGATTTTTTTTTTTTTTTTACCAGAATGGCTGGAGTTATGCATTATTTCCCTTTCCCTATACACACTGTAGAAAACTGCCAAAAAGCAAGCTGAAACTGAACCAAGGGGTCCAGACAGTTAGCAAATTGAATATCCATTCCCTTAAAAGATTAAAACTGTAGCTGTACGGAAAAGTGAAATGCTTAAATAAAAGCTTGGTACTCGTTGTGATGGGACTGGAAGTTTGCCTGTAAGTTATAATAATGGAGCTAGAAGCCAGAATATGGTTCCCACCTACTCTGGCCCTTCCCCCAAAGGAGTTTATGGGAAGTCCCCTTGATGAGCCTTAAGGGATCTACAAAAAAGCAAGCAGAGCCTCTTAGAGTTTTGGCTTCCCCGTACCCTAGCTGAAATGATATAGGAGGCCTGCTTGTGAGCAGAAACACAGCACAAATGAGTGATCCCGCGTGAACCTGAAATTTCCTCAGACCTCACAAAACTAAAAGTTGGAGAGCTTTTACGGGTTTCAAGTGCAGCTCACATTCCTCATCAGCTTTATCTCCTGCAGCCCTCACAGGCATGATTGATAACCCCCAGGTTTCAATGGCCTTGGCAGCCTCAGGAAGCAGCGGCTCCAGACAAAATGGATTGTTCTTGAATGATCCTTCGAACGTATTAGTCACAAACATGTTGTTCTTTAACAAAAAGCATGCCTGTCTTCTTGCTCCACATCCTTTGCAGAGCAAATGTAAGAATGTTCACAATACCAGAAACACTAAAGTCAAACTTTCCCTGTGAACTTGAGACCTGCAAAGATGTGTCTAACCTATCTGGGTAATAAACGACACGGAGAATAGTCTTCCAACTTCACCTCAAGGTTTCTCTTGGTTTGCTCTTTGATGCCACTTCTAGACTATTGCGAAAAGAACTAAAGCTCTTGTTTATGTATTTAAAAGAAAAAAACCAAAGTAAATAAGGAAAGAGGATTATTTGATAAAGGATTTTTTTTTCAGATTAGTATTCATGCTTAGTCTGAGGGAACTTTGATAAACTGGATACATACCTAAGAAAGCAGAATTTAGCATTCTCAGCCAGACACCATTATGTTACAAATGAAAACAAAACATGAATTTTTTGAGAAATGAAGTAGCATTATTGTATAAGCTGTCCTAGTTAGGGCTTCTGTTGCTGTGATAGTGCATTGTGACCAAAAGCAACTTGGAGAGAAAAGGGATTACTGCATTTTATGACTTGTAGTCCATCATCCAAAAAAGTCAGAGCAGAAATCTGAAGGCGAGAGCTGAGGTGAAGGTCATGAAGAAACGCTGCTTACTGGCTGACCCCTTGCAGCTTGCTCAGCCTGATGTCTGCTAGCACTTTATACCTAAAGGAGCCCCACCCACAATGAGCTGGGCCCTCCCACATGGATCATCAATCAAGAAAATGCACCCCAGGATTGGCCACAGGTCAGTCTGTGGGATCATTTTTTTTTCTCACTGAGGTTCGCTCCTCCAAAATGACTGGAGCTTGTGTCGAGGTGACATAAAACTACTCAGCACATAAACTAATAGTGGCTGTTCCTCTCTGTCACTACATAGATAGTGGCCGTACTGTCCCTTCAGAAGATGACTGGGGGAGGGGCATGCCTCTCCACCTACCAGTAGAAGCCTGAGTGCAGCATCTTTGCAGGGTCTCTCTGCTCCCCATTGCTCAAGGATACTAACCCAAGGAGTATTGATGAGGTGAAGGCATATCTGACCTTACTTCTCCCCAGGGAGTCACAGCATACCTCACACACTGTCATTAAAGTAGGCTAGCTCATGAAAAGAACATGTTACATGTGGCTGACCAAGAGGCTTGTTTGCTTGCTTGTTTTTCCTCTCCCTGATTTTGTTTCTAAAACTTTTCGTAGAACCCAGGATTACCCACCGTAGGTGAGCACGTCAGGCCAGGCTTTTAAGCCAGGTAAGTGATTCCAGGTAAGCATCAAGGTATTCAAGTACTTGATATGTCTATTTATATTATTTATATTATGTTAATGGTATTATTAATTATGTTAATGAGTTCTTATTTAAAAACTAGCTCCTCTCTCCATCAGCTTTTGACCTTTTTTCAAGGTCAAATACAAATTCTAAGCACTTGAAATGCAAATTCTAAGCCTTTGGAGCAGAGATTCCTAAACAAGCCTCCCTCAGGCGATAGGGTCATTCTGCCTTTAGAAGAACTACTCTGCTCTGCCATTGTTTCATACTTCTAGAGCTCTGTTCTCTTCTTTTTCTCCTGTATACATAACCATGATTTTCATACTAAGCCAGACACTAAACAGCAACTCCATCACATAATCTAGTGCACCTCCTAAGAGATTGCTGTACTCCAGAGACTATGCCTCTGACACATCAGTATGTTTTGAGAGGTTGGGTATGTTTATTAGATGTAGTATAATCACAGATGACTGAGTTCGTATTACAGTACCTTATGCACAAGGGTATGATGAGATTACTAGAAACTCGATCATTACTAACCATATGGAAGTATAGAAGAAGAAAACAGAAAGGTAATTGTTCTTCTAAAATGACAGAAGAGAAGAGAAACTGAGGATAAGGGGAAAAAAATAGAAATTATCCCGTTACTTATATACAATTTTCAATTACTGTAGTACCAAAGTATATTAAGAAATTACTTAAAATAATTATATCAAAAGCTCTCAGATGAAGTTCAGTGCAACTTTTATTCAGTGTTTCAGCAAAGATTACTAGTGAATTGCTGGCTTAAAAACTCATATGGTTGATCACTGTGTAAGGATAAAATCTATGCAGAGTAGAAACTTCATTTAATTACTTCAGCTTCCCCAGCTGAGTTTGTCTAATTCTGAGACAGGATTATTGATTTAAACCAATCAGAATTTCTTACTGTACCCACAATTGTTATCCCAGCTATAAGTTACAAAGAAATTTAAGAACTTGAGGTTGATAATTAAATTTTCCTTAAAGAAACTGTATTTGCATTAAAAACCATTTTCTATCCCATAAGCATAAAACATACCAGAGTCTGGACTATGGCATGGTTGGTGGCATTCATATGGGCATTAAGTGGAAAAGAACATTCTCCATCACAATAAAATGCTGCATAGCCTTCTGGAGCTATGATCCAGTCCTGAAATATACAAAAGCAAGAAAAAGAATATCAGCTAAATGACAGTAAAGGCACATAATTCTTAAGGGATACTCAGAGATATTCTACTTGAACACATTTCCCTTCTTAATCCAACAATTATTCTAAAAGTCCAGCTTCTCCTACCTCCTTTAATTTTTAGTTGAAATTTACAACAAAGGTATAACTATTTCACAAGAAGTTGTCCTTTCTAATTTCTCCCAAGAGGTTACTGTAGAAAATGTAGTATACATTAATCATTCTGTGTTTGAGAATAAAACCATAATCATAAAATAGAATCTTAAATATTGTTTAAACTGGAAATGGCTAATGCTGAGGCATTCAAGTGAACCAGACAATGTGGGGAGTGTATGACGTCTTGAGTGAATCTTTGTCATTAACATGAGCAAGGCCATATCAAAGCCACCCCAGTGGCTCACACCCATGGAAATGCCAAGGTCTTCCCTGGGATAGGTTAGAGGAATGGCAAGACCTTCCCCTAGTTGGAGTATGAACGTTGACAGGATGTGCAGGAAGTATCAAGCGCAGCTTCTTCCTCCCTGATGAACGCAGACTGAGACTGCTTCCCTCCAGAGACCCCCTATCAAGATCAGTTAGCTCACCTCTGCCTTGTTCATTTGCATATCATTGGCTCTGAGTTTCCCCCAGCTGCAGGTGGTACATCTCCATCAGAGCACAGGACACATTCGATCCCAGCTTTTCTGTTTATACAACTGACAGCTCCTCACGCCCAGTCATGCTACTCAGGTCAATACCAAAGCCCTGCAGGTCAAGGCGAGTGGTATCCAATGTAAATCCTTGACTGCACGGAACTCCCATTGTCTTGCACGGCCAGACAAGAGAAAAAAGCTACAGTAGCAAGTGCCAGTGCACAAAGAAAGTTAAGGGAGAGAGCATTTCTATAAGTCAGGTATGGGCCAGAGGATGAGCAGGATCCAGAGACAGACAGTTATATGTTTGTGCCTCGAAGCTTATTTTCAGAAACCATGGAAATGAGGTAAAACCATTAGGATTGCGTCAGTGTTTAGACTATGTTGAGACAAGGCTAGACACTCAGACTGAGGAAAGAGACTATGAGAATGCAGTCCCCCAGCCCGTTGTGAAATTGCAGGGTCTGGGCTGCAGCAAGGTTTAAAGGGAGGTAAACTCACTCTTTGACAGAAAACTCTGTTTAGGGCAAGGGATCTGGATGGGAAGGCTAATAGTTGTAACTGCTTTCCTGTTTGGGGGCAATCTAATGCACAGACTCAAAATCAAACATCAGAGGAGGGAGAATGAGGCGTGGCTTTGAGAAATAACCTGGCAGTTCTATTTCTGTGATGTCTGGTGATCATGCCCACGCAGGTAAGTCCAGTCCAAAGAGGAGCCCACTGGATCTATGTCTCCAGCAGCTGGTGGTCACATCCTTCCAGACCTGTTTATATTAATGACTCCCTCCACTTGGGAGGGCACTCCTATAACCACCTGAAGTCCCAGTGGGCTCCATTCCATGAACCAAAAGGGGCTATGATTTTACCCAAATGCGCTTCTCCTTTATTATCCTCTTGGGACATTCCTCTTAAAAAGACCAGGAGAGCCACCATGACATGGAGTGGTAGCCATGTTAAATATAAGAATATAGAACTTCTAGAATTTGAGGCCTCCGCATATACAATGGCTCGCTCTCATCCCCCACCCCCACTGAAAAAACTGTAGAGCATATAGTGTTAAACCGGTCCCTGGCTATGCTCTCTGAAGGCATTGCTTGTTAGACCCTGCTCATAAACACAATGTTAGTGGCACTAATGTCATGTAATGGTCCACTAATGGCTCCACAGAAGGAATGATACAGTGTTTTGGTATTTGCCCAAACTCCAGGGAGACAAAGGATCTTGTATGGAACTATGAAAATTGGCAGCTGTCACCAACCTTTTTATTATTACCAGTTGGTCAATGGCTGACCTCAGTAAGTGCAGTATGGATAAAGGAGGGTTGCAGCAACAACATCAGACAGGATTTGATATGTCAGAGATTATCAAACATATGCATGACAGAAGCTCTTATACTGGAAGCAAATTTAATAGGAATTAATTAAGACCCACTTCCAGAGTGCTTGAACCCACAATAGCAATACTGTAGATATGGACCAATTACATTGGCACACCCTAGAAATCCAAAGACTTAATGATCAGATTGTCTCCACTGCTCATGTTGCAAAAACAATCCTTGATGAGCTTCAAGGCTTCAAGCCTTTTAACACGGGTCAATTTGTTAAAACTTTCTTTGTTGTTTCTGTTGGGGATTATGGCTATTTGTTCTTTCTTTTTCTCAACCTTACAGTCTGCAATTGAGCGTTGCAACAAACCACCTTGGGACTAAAACTGAAGACATCCTGAATGTCTAAATAATAAGAAGTGGGGAGATGTGAGGAGCAGATGAAGTCCTGAGTGAGTGTTCATTTTTAATATGAGCGCGCCCTTGTCAAAGACCCCAGGGCCTCAGATTCTTGGGAATGACAAGGCCCTCCCCTGGTATGAGTACAGATGCGGACAGTGTGTGCAGAAAGCATCAACTGCAGCTTCCTCCTCAAGAAAGACTAGAGCGTGAGCCTGCTTCCCTGTAGGGCCCCCACACACATGTGGATGAGTTAGCATCTCCATCAGAGCACACAGTCCACTTGACCCCAGCTTTTCTGTACTCATGTCAGTCATTTCTTCATTCCCCTGTTGCCCTAGTCAGGTCAAATCCCAAAGCCATGCAGGCTTTATCAAGAAAAGACATGGAAAACAGAACTGAGCTGATTGTCATCAATGTTTGATAAGTCATTCCCAGCGTTAAGAGTCATGCAAGTTGGACTCAGTGGCCGGCTCTCTGATCACCTCCTCCTGGCAGGGGAGCAACCTTGCCAGGCCACAGAGTAAGACAACCAGTCTTGATGAGACCTGATAGGTTAGGGTCAGATAGAAGGAAAGGAGGACCTCCCCTATCAGTGGACTAGGGGAGGAGCATAGGGAGGAGACGAGGGAAGGGGTCACAGCTGGGATACAAATTGAATAAAGTATAATAAATGATAATAATAATAGATAGAAAAGTGAAATGTCACACTGAAAATTAATATAATTTCCCTACCCGCAAAGAAACAAAATAAGTATTACATATACATATATAATTAAATTATCCGTAACAAAAGTTTAATCATAAAATTTTACTTTCTATACTTCAGAAAACTCCAGTGAAGGGGTAACCTACATAATGGGGAAGAGATTTTACCAGCTATACATCTAACAAATGGTTAATATCTAGAAAGTATGAAGAATCAGAACAGTTAAACATTAAGAAAATAATAAATTTTAAAATTTTTAAAATAAATTTTAAAAATGGGGAAAGAATTTTAGTTCTCAAAACATGGCATACAAATAGCTAAGAAAGTATTTTTTTAATATTCAACATTCTTAAACCCCCAAATAATAAAAATTAAAACTTTTTTTTGAAATTTCACTTTATATTAGTCATAATTCCTAAAGTATAAATAAATATAAAACAACAATTGCTGGTGTGAATGTGGGGAATGAAGAACATTTATTCACTGCTGCTGAGAAAGAGAAATGATGGTCACTGTGGCTACTATCTCTGAGGTTCCTCGGTAGATGAACCACATCATTCAGCCTTGCACTCTTGGGCATTTACCCAAAGAACTCTATATCCTACTATAGAGATGCCTACTCATCCATACTCACTGATGCTCTACTTATAGCAACTAAAAACTCAAAACAGCCTCGATGTCCATCAACTGATGAACGTGTAATGAAAATATTATTGAATATCATTCTGTTGTAAGACAAATAAAATTAACAACTAAATGGATGGGTCTGGAAGCAATTATTATGAGTGAGGTAACCCAGACCCGGAAAGACAAGTATCACGTTTTACCTCATTTATGAATGTTATTTTTGAATCTTCAGATGTGTGTGTTTTATTTGAAAACCCATAAGAGTGGGAAAACTGCAAAGGACTATGGGGAGGAACTTTTAAGAAAAGCAAGATGCAATGTATTTGTATAAAATGTTATGTGGGACTAATGAAACAAGAAAGGTTAGATTTGAGTGGAGGAGGCAATTGCAGGGTAAGGCATGATATATATAACATAAAAGACCTTTTCTTAAATGCAATATAGAACATCTCACTGTAGAGGCGGTGGTGTGCATACATACATATACAGAGAGAATGTTTTAAAATGGAGTTACCCTGAACAATGCCCCTCCTGAACAATACAAGCTAACAACTTGTGCTAAAAAAGCACAATGCCAGGGATAGGTTGCTTCTTCATGAGTTGTTACCAAGTGAGATTCCAAGCACCTCCAAACATCACAAGCTATTGCCCATCAATGGTCCTGGTTGCCTTCCTGAACTTGACAATAAGACCCTATTGCTGAAGATGCCACACACTTAAGTCACGAAGCATTGAGAAATATAGTGGAATCATCCTGCATGCTTCATTTCTACTGGCTAGCATCATGGTGGTAGAAGGTGCTATCCATATTACTGAAGGATAAGAGTAATCAATGATTTTAACAAACTGTGAACTATATCAGATACAGTGATGGCTGGCCTGCCAAGGCAGACCCACTGGTACAATAGGGGTCCTAAAGTCACTGTCCAGTTGGATATGTCATACTCCACAAGATGAAACTTACCTGACACCAGTATTAGGTCCAGAACCTATGGCTAGAGAGGTTCTAGTCTCCAGGGGAGAATATACTGTTGTTTTGCTGCTGAATGGACATAATATTAACCAAATTCTAATGACTTACTGCTATACCCATGGACTATTGAACCTCTCAAGCCCCCTCAGGAAAGCTTGCATTATAGTAGGTAGTGCTTACCACAGAGATCCACACTAGACGAAGTGCAAAGAATGAGAGACTATGGAATGAATGATCGGTCCTGAATGGAAGATATGTACTACACCCACCTCTTCGCAAAACTCGGGAAGCATCGTGGAAGTAGGAGCAGAACGATATTAAAAGCCAGAGGCTATGGATGACAAGGAGACAGTGTCTCTGGACACAGTAGGGTAAACACACAATTTGTAGTAGGTGTGACAGCATGCACAAGACCCAAAACTAGACAAAAGCCCAGGGTGGAGAAGGGAATTCTGCTTATAACTCCACCTCCAAACAGGTCGTTCCTGGAAATTGAGAGTTGCCAGGAACAGTTTTCTCTAAGAGTGTAGCCCCTGTTCCATGAAAGGCACACATAGAAGAATATTTGAGGAGTGCAAATTGATCTTGGTTTCTTTTTTTAAAGAACCCAAACCCAAAGTTTAAAGAACTTTTTTAAAGAATGGGTGAGGAAGTGGAATGTACCTGGGAAGAGCTGAAGAATGAGGGTGAATATGATCAAAATATGTCAGATGAAATTTTGAAAGAACCAATAAAATCATAAAAAACAAGAATGCATTAAAAACAAATATATAGTTCCATTTATATCATTATCTTAATTTTTGAATATAATCCTATGAAGGTGGCTCCATATACTGAGAATTTGTTGGAATACCAAAAGAAATCTGAAAACTTTGTATTAAATTGTTCTGAGACATTAAAACTGTTTTACTAAATCTCCTCTCTACCTCATTTGTGAAGCATATTAAAAATGGTAATATTATTATGAGATTTAAGTGAAAGTTTTCTGTGCAAACCTGCCTTATGATTTAAAGTTTATAGTTGGAATTTCTATTGCCTAGACAGAACTGTGATCCTGGAGGAGGTAGTGTAGGTGTTTATACTAATCCAAACAAGTCATTTATCTTCATAAAATTAAAAATTCTGGTGGTGAGGTAAAGATGACTCCATGGGTAAGAGTGCTGACTGGGAAAGAATGAGAACTTGGGTGAAAATCTGGAAAATGAGGGGCATGTCTGTCATGCTTGCTCATAATCCCAGGATCTTCTACACTGGAGTAGGAAAGACATGAGAATCACTGGCCTTTCCTGGCAGCCAGCTTAGTCCCAAAGACAGTGATAAACAGACTCAGCATGAGAAAATTATTTCAAAGAATAAGGTGGAAAATGATAGGTCAGGGCATGTGATACCCTCATCTAGCCCGCACATGTGCTCACAGATATGCACACTCAGACCTGTACAAAAATAAATAAATGTTTATTATAAATGCAAGACATAGTGGCACATGCCTATAATCCCAGTACCTGGGACACTGAGGCAGGAGAAGGACTTGAAGAAATCTTGGACTGCATAGTGAGACCCTGACTCGTGTAAAATAAAAGCCTTGGGATATTTAAAGGACAATATTGTTTTTATCCATTCTTAAATGTTAAAGTGAAGAATGTTCCCTAGATAGTTATTAAACCCAACTCATTATTTTCCAATGAGCAAGGAGTAATAAAAAAATGAAAACGATGTCTGAATAGTCTTCAAAAGTGATTATTACGTTGGTACAATTACTAACAAGGACTATGACTTGCTAAGGATTTAAGATAAAACAGAAAAGAAGCACCTACATTGAAGATCTCACCTGCCATCCCAGATCCCGGAAACTTACATAAAGTTCATGCTTCTTGCAGGCTTGTTTTTGTTCGCTGGTATTATAATCTGCAGATTAAAGAAAAAGAAAAACTCAGGTCTTAAACGAATGACTGCCTATTAGGTTTGTAGTATATAGTTTCTGTGATGATTTTAAGAATAAGGTTTCTGGAAGAGATCATATTTGAAGGTGTAAAACATGAGTTTGACTCTTAATTAAGAGTTTTGGCTGCATTACTCAGTCATGTTTCTCCTGTAGAATATAGATGATATCAATTGCTTTGTAAAGTTCTAAAAAAGAATTCTCTTGCCACCTATCTGTCAGGCAAAGGATGGTTGCTGCCATTCGCTGAGTACTAAATACCAGCTGTGTGATCATTCATTAATTCAGCCACACTATACTGGTACTACATGTGGTGCATATTTACACGGTATCATTCGCGCACAGATGCTTTCAGAGTATCCAATGTCTCTGGAGATTATATTTAAGTAAGTATCATCAATCTAAGATTCCCCATTTTGAGTTTCTGATCACCACTCAAAAGCATATCCACTTTTAGACCTCTTCACTCACAGCGAATAGAAGTACCCACAGGGAAAAAAATCAAACAAAAACCTCAGAAAACCCACTCCCCTTTCCTTTCACTCTCATATCCAATCTGTCAGAAAAATCTCACAGGTGACTTTCAAACAGATTTCAGACTCAGTTGCTCACTGTCTCCTCCATTGCACCTAGACCAAGTCACCAGCACTAGCCAGGATTACGGCAGTATCATGAGTGATATTCTCTTCTTCTCCTTTTGTACCTTTACAATAAAGTCCTAAGTGGGCTTTTTATCAAATTAATTATTCATTTGTCTGAAAGAAGCCACGCTGTGGTTCTAATATCACCAGAAGTGAAATATCTGCAAAATGGCTACAGGCTTGGTGTAAGTTGGTCCCATTACCTCTCGCACTCATTTCCAGAAAAATTTCTCCTCCTTAGCCTTGTCCTAGCCATGACAACTACTTCTGGTTAAGCACTGTTGAGTTCAGACATCAGTTAGGGTCCTTACACTTATTGTAACCTTTTCCTGATCTTCTCTTGCCTGTACATCAACACAGCTGACTGCTGTATCCTTTGGTAACGTTTAAGCACCATCTTCTGCAGAGGGCTTCCATAACTAGTACATTTAATATTGTAATTCTGACACCCGCATTTCTTACTTCTCTTATCTTGTTTAGGTTGGCATAATGTTTCACTTACACCCTGTGAGATCCTCTGCCATTAGTTATTCATTACCTGTGTGGCTTCTTATCTATATTCCCTCCCTAGAATAAATCTTCACCAAGACAGGAAATCTGTTTCACTCTGGTTCATTGAGGTATACCAAGTACTAGAAACAGTAATGGATACATTATATGCATTTCATAACTATTTGGAGAATAAATGAACTTATTTCCTGTAGTTTTTGTAATTGAAGACACATTCATTACCTCTATTGCATATTTTGTGATGCATTCAAAAATATTAAAATTTATATAATTAACTTGTTTTAACAAGTTAAATATAAATGTAAAACTCTAATCTTGCATCTTTTTTCTTTCCAACTCTTTTATTCTTTTTTATTTTTAATTATACTTTATTTACTTTGTATCCTCCCTCTAGTTCCCTCCCTCCTCCCCTCCCAATCCTTCCCTTTCTCCCCCTTCTCCAACACTCCCCTCTCCAAGTCCACTGGTAGGGGAGGGTTTCTTTTTCTTCCTTCTGATCCTAGTCTGTTAGGTCTCATCAGGAGTGGCTGCATTGTCTTCCTCTGTGGCCTGGTAAGACTGCTCCCCCCTCAGGGGGAGGTGATCAAAGAGCAGGCCAATCAGTTCATGTCAGAAGCAGTCCCTGTTCCCATTACTATGGAACCCACTTGGACACTGAACTGCCATGGGCTACATCTGTGCAGGGGTTCTAGGTTATCTCCATGCATGGTACTTGGTTGGAGTATGAGTCTCAGGAAAGACCCCTGTGCTCAAATTTTTTGGTTCTGTTGCTCTCCTTATGGACCTCCTGTCCTCTCCAGCTCTTACTATTATTTCCCACTTCTTTCATAAGATTCCCTGCATTCTGCCCAAAGTTTGGCCATAAGTCTCAACATCTGCTTTGATAGTCTGCAGGGCAGAGCCTTTCAGAGGCCCTCTGTGGGAGGGTCCTAACTTGTTTCCTGTTTTCTTCTTCTTCTGGTGTCCATCCTCTTTGCCTTTTGGAGTGGGGATTGAGCATTTTAGCATCTTAAATAAAGTAAAACATCTTAAAAATACAAAATTTTACAGAATTTTTTTATGTTGTCTCTGGAATTCTCTCACACATTTTACAAATAACATTCTAACAGATTTTTTTTATTAATTTCAGTGTAAAAGAGGGAAAATTAAAGAGCAATTAAATTAACTTCAAAGAAATATTGGGTTAATATTTTACCTTCCAACTTAACGATTCAACTGCTGATGAGAGAGTTTCACACTAGAGACCAAATGGTGACTCTCTTGTCCTTATAATTATTTCAAAGAACTATGTGATGTCAGTTTATAAAATGTGATAGTAATTAAATTTTTAATTTAAATTTATTTTTTATAATTTATTCACTTTACCTCCTGATTGTAGCCCTCTCCTTCATCTCCTCCCAGTCCTACCCTCTCTCCCTCTCCTCTATTTTCTCAGAAAAGGGAAGCCCTCCTCCCCTACCATATGACCCCAGCCCATGCAGTCTCATCAGGAATACCTGCATCTTCTTCCTTTGTGGACTGGTAATGCCCCACCCACCATGGGGAAGTGATCAAAGAGTCTATGTCAGGGACAGCCCATGCTCCCCTTATTAGGACACTCACATGAAGACTGAGCTACATCTGAGCAAGGGGGTCCAGGTTCTCTCCATACATGGTCCTTGGTTGCTGCATCCGTCTCTGCAGGCCCCCATGGGCCCTGATTTGTTGGTCTGTTGCTCTCCTTGCAGAGTTCCTATCCCCTCCAGGTCTTTCCACCTCCTCCTTTTTCCATAAGATAGCCTACACTCTGCTAAAATTTTGGCTATGAGTCTCAGCATCTGCTTCGATATGCTGATCTGTAGAGTCTTTCAGAGGCCCTCTGTGGTAGGCTCTTGTCCTATTTCCTGTCTTCTCCCTCTTCCGAAGTCTATCTTGTTTGCCCTTCTGAATGAGGATTAATCCTCTTCCCTACGGTCCTCCTTTTTTGTTTAGCTTCTTTAGGACTATAGATTTTAGTATGTTTACCCTATATTATATGGCTAATATCCACTTATAAGAGAGTATATACCATGTCTCTTTCTGCTTCTAGGTTACCTCACCTCAGGATGACCTTTTCTAGTCCCATTCATTTGCCTGCAAATTTCATGATTTCCTTGTTTTTAATTGCTGAGTAGTATGTGGGGGTCACCACAACATGAGGAAGTGTGTATTAAAGGGTCACAGCCTTAGGAAGGTTGAGAACCACTGCCTTGGAGTCTACTGACTATCCAATGGACTTCTCTAAATGAACTCTTCCCAGATGTCTCCCATTCACTGTTTCTGCTTCTCGTCTCACTTTGCTTTCATACTCACAAACTGAATCAAATAAGATCAACAGTCACCTAGTGGTCATATCCGCTAGTAAGTGGATGTCAGTATCAGATGACAGACAGTAGAAGACAAGATGTGTCAGTATAGAAACAGGGCTGGCTAATGACCTATTGGATGTGTCTGAGTGATTGCTTGCAAAAAGTTTCTAAAACCTTTCACAATTCACAGAATAGTCCATTCCAATGTTAATTTTCTGCACAAATCATCTCAATTTAAAACATTTTTATGTTTGTAGCACTGTGGGATTTCCTGTGCAGTATTTATTTCAGAGGCCTCATTTGGAAACAAGCAAAACACTCATTAAAAAGTGACGTGATTAACTACACTAATTCCAGTTTTATTAAAAATGCTGTAACATCTTAAAAGAGCTAGGTCGTTTTTCTAGAAATATGACTAACTCACTTCTAAAATACATAAAACGTACATTGATGTAGTGGTGAACTCTTAAGCATGTATTGTAAAGCACTCTGGATAATTTAATTCATCCTATTCTCTTGTTTAAATTGATGTGTTTCGAGAGGCATAGGTTTCTGCTGTGTGCTTTAGACAGGAGGTAGTGTTTGCTTGACTAGAGAGTGAGTGCAGAATGTTTGAGGTAGGATTAACTATGTGAGAAGCTACCAAGGCTCTAGGCATGACCACCATTTGAGCAGAGCCACTTTCAAGGATTCTTAGTACTAAGCGTGTGATAAAAATATTTTCCAGCAGTTCTAACATGAGCTAAGACTTGGCATTTTTCCTGTTAGCTTTCACTGACTCTTAATCCTCTGCTGTTTTGAGCACTTTGTGTACCCCTTGAAACAACATCACGGTCTAGGGGTTCTTTCAAAACCTTATCAACCTAAAGATGTGGCTGGCTTAAAACATAGCTAATGCCTTTTCTTCTTTCCTCTACCAGTCAAATTTAAAAAAAAAAGAAAGAAAGAAAGAAAGAAAGAAAGAAAGAAAGAAAGAAAGAAAGAAAGAAAGATGTCACTATGCATAGTCAATGTGGCATTACCACTATCTTCCAAAGCATCACTGTTCAACCTTCTTGCCAGAGGAACTGGATGGTTCTGCAAGTATTCACTTGAATGAGGATGTTGCTTTTCCAGAAGCAATGAACATGTTAATATGCTTAGTAGGTGTTTGGTGGGCTCCTACTTTGTTTCAGATGCTCTTCTAGGCTTTCCCATAGTATTAGGTACAGGGCAGGAAACACTGACAAGTCCTAAGAACAGAATCTGATTTTTCTCCTTCCCTCTTCTTCTCCTTTCTCCCTCATTCCCTCCCTTCATTCCCTCTTTTTATCCTCCCTCTTTCCTTTTCCCCCTCCCCTCTGTTTTTATGTTTCCAAAGGGTTCCTAGATGACTCAGGTTGGCTTGGGATTCTGGATTTTCCAGCCGCAGCCTCCTGAGTAATGGGATTACACAAATGCACCACCATGTTCAGTATAGGAGTCTTTGAAACGGGACAAGTAGAGTAAAATAGTCTAAGAGACCTAACCTGGATCTTAATGCTCTTATGCCTTCTCCAGATGTCTAATATTTACAAGATGTATTAAAAAGCTTCAATTTTGACAAACCTCTATCATTACTATCCTAAACCTTCCTCCACTGTGAATTAGTCAGGGAGCCTTTATTCCATCAGTTATTATAAAAGCCTGGTTCTATTACGGCATCTACTATTTATATTTGGATAATTTTACATTTTCCCTGGCATTTTCAAGCCTCCCAAGTATCAAGTGTTCTGTTTATATTACCATTCCCTTTCTTTCAGCCCTGCCTTTTAACCCAAATCCTACGAGGCTTTTCTAGTCTGCTTGATTATTACCTATTGAAAGGTTAAGTCTCACAGAAAACAAGCTACTTTCTTATTATCAAAATATGAATGAGCTTCAAAACCATCTACCACATATTTCACAGTGATGCTTGCCAAGGACAAACTTTGCAAAAGAAAATATTAGTCTATGTATAAGCATATATACTAAATGTGCTGGGAAACTGGTGAAAAGGCTCCTGATTTTTGCTCCATGTGTTTTATTCATCTACGGTTATAGAAGTACATTTGTTACTTTGTGGTCAAGAAGAGAGGATAAATAGAGTCAGCCCACCGGGAAAAGGACTTTGATGATTCTGGTTGCTGGAACCTTCTGCCAGAGTAATTATAAGTTTGAATAATAAGAGCATGGCTGTCCTTTGTGCTTTTAAGTTTCCTCAAAAACTGTTTACTAGTCTATTCATTTTTAGAAAACCCCTTTCTTGATGTACAGTCTACATTAAGTTAAAATCACTTCAATCAAATTCAGAAACTTTCTACCTGAATATATATTTATATATATATATATATATATATATATATATATATATATATATACACCTTTGACAACATAGTCTTTGCAGTGAAAAGAGGGCCTTAGATTATTTTTCTCAATTTTCATATTCAGAGACTACAGCTTTTGCCAAACTAAATATTTTGTGAGTGTCTTTAACAAAGTAGCATAAAACTACCATTATTCTCCAATAGAACTCTGTTTGAAAGCTTCATTTTGTATGTAGCATTTAATTCAGTATAATGTAGCACCATATATAATTCTCTCCTACTGCTTCTGTTTTTAGACAGACCAAGCGAACTTCTGTCTAACGTGATGAATCTGGTAGGAAGTTGAATGAATTCCACCTTTTGAGAACATCAGGTTCTAGGAGATTTGTGACTTTGAAGTAACCTCAAAAATGAAGATTTTAAAAATAATAGCAAAGGCTATTTGAAATCAGATTCTTAATTTACTGAAATACTGCTAGTGAGACTCATGGATGTTCCACGCATCTGCTCATCTGTTGTGCCTATAAAGGTATTGTATATACAGTAGCTGTAAAGACAGAGCCAGTAAGCAATTTTTTTTTTACTAAGTTGAGGTGTGCTAGGATTGGCAAACCTCCAAATGTATTTTTCATAGATGGAAATAGATTTGTGTAATAAAGTAGACATCAATTTTGCCTCCTATAAGACACTACTGTAGACTAAACTAAGCAAGGTCCTTCTCAGCATAAAGTTTCCAGTGAAGGCACCAGCAAATGCCTACTTTCTAATCAGTGATGATTCTATCCCCTTTCCCAACCAAAAGGAGATTAAATTAAAACTCAATGTAGACTGACATCAGCTGTACATTTGTAATATTTTGCTGAAAAGTTTTTTGTATGCATGCAATTGGACAGTCCAGATATCAGCCCACCTGATAATTAAGGGAAATACAGACAACCTTGATTCTCTGACCGTCTGCCCATGTTCCTCTTCTCTAGAAAGAATCTGAGCTAGATGGTTCACACCTAAATAGCAAAGAAAGAACTGTATGCTGAATTCACCTGGTTGACCATCCCTCGGGGAAGTTGGCCTGCGAATTGTGTCATTTCATTTTGGCTAGACTTTGTTGACTTAGTCATTTCATAACTTTATTACTGCCAGCTTGATTTTAATTTGAATGGAATCTTTCAACACATGAAGGTACATCAGAGTTATTTTTGAGTGAATTAGTGAGTGATTCACTGGTGAAACATTCTGGGGATGCTAGAACCATCACCCAGACGATTTAATATACCAAATGAAAGTATATGCAGCTGGCAAATTTATTGTGGCAACTTGACTTGTAACATATGACCCAATAATTCTCTGAGCACAACTGTCACTCTCATTTTATCTTACCTCCAGCGCTGGACATCCTGGAGGGGTCGTGATGAGAACTGGATTTATTGCGGTTTTGATTTTTCCGTTTGCTGGCTGCTCTCACGGATCGAAGAAGTACCTCACTTGCCTTGAAGAAGGCCACCATGAATGGCTGTTTTGACTGAGGCCCGTGTCTTCCCACAAGACCAGCGGATTTCACATTGATGCTGCGTCCTAGGACATAACACACAAACACTCAGTTTACGAGAGAGAGATAACGTGGTGCGGATGAGTCCTGTAGTCCTTTGGAAAGGAGAAAATAATGTAAGCATTATCAGAATGTTTTCTTTCTAGATCAAGGTTCTTATGAACCTTGATGTTGATGATCAAATGAATATTCAGGCAGATTCGTTTAATTGTCTCCTTCTCCCACCACAGCACAGAATACACAGCAGAACGTCAGGTGACATCCTGCGGCTGCTCTCATTCTCTGACACTTTCTCAAACAGCAAGGAAGGTTACGGGCTTGCTTACCCATCAGCCTGAAAATTTCCACATCAAACATAGGTCCCAAAGTCAACTCTGGACTTTTCTACATTGTAGACCCCCTAATTTTTCTCTAAGTGATTAAAAATTGAACCCCTGAAGGGTGTTTCTACTTCTTTTCCAGCCACCTTCAGCCTTTCTTATGTGAATCAATACCGATAGCCTTTTCCTATTCACTTCTGGCCATATCAGTAAACTTCACAAAGCTGTTTGCTCTGCTATTAACATTCTTCATGTCATTCCAGGAGATTTTTCCTGGGAATGCAGGTTTGTTGTGAACTCCATTCTCGCTGTAAAATACTTTGAAACAAACGTATTTTGTGTTGTTTCTCTGTGAATTTCGTAGCATGTACCCCAATTTCACTCATCTCCCCAGTGCTCCATACCCACCCTCCACCCCCGAAAGAAAACAAAAAATAAAAATTAATTAGTTAACTAAATAAACATCTCGCAGCGGAAACTGCGGTGTGTCACAGCGTATCGCACAGTATGCCTTTCTGTCCACACATCTTTACTTGCAAACGTTCATTGTAATGAGTCCTTGATCTGGTTCAAGGCCTCTCACTGCTGCTACACCATCAATAATGAATCCTCAAAGGGACTTCTCTCTGATATCTTATTGTTGCCCTGTGTTATGGAGGTCTTGCAACTTTGATTCTGCAGGACAGGCCCCTTCACGTGCTTCAGCAGTTCATAGATGACATAGGCATTGGGGAGGACCAACATAAAGCCCTGGATCTGGGCCTGGGTGGTAGCTGAGTTGGTAGGTCCACCAGCTCTCCCTCACACACACACACCGCCATGGCCAGCTCTCCTGCTCTGCTCAGGTAAGGGGCTGGACTGGCTCTTCTGTGCCACTGTCGCTGGGGCCAGCTCTCCTTCATCCACTTTGGAGAGCTGGCCCCAAGAGCATGAGAGCCAGTGAGCTGGTCTAGAACAACCTGTGGGTGATATGGTTGCAGAAGAGCTGGTTCTGCCCCCCAACCCCCACCTAGGCAGCATGGGAGAGGTGATCCCAACCCTGGCCAGCTGCAGCACTCAGGAGAGCAGGCCCTGCCCCTTACCTGGGCAGTGCTGGAAACCTGGAAATATCTAAATACCTCTCCTGGTGAGTTTCCATAAACTGCAAGTTGACTGAGATTTCAGAAAACTTAAATGAAGTCTGGCAACTCCCAAAAAAGAGGAGAAAGTTCTAAGTGAGCTTATCAACTCCTGTTTGATTTGTACTTAGTTTACATCTTAGACGCTTGTTAGTCTGTAGATGTGGCTATATGTCAAAGAAAAAAAAAGAAAAAAACTAGAGCGTGTTACAACTCAGCGTCTCCTAGGCTCTAGAAACTGAAGTGGTTTAAACTGCCTTTCCTGTGCAGGAGAAATAACAGTTATGATGGTATCAATGTGTTTGCAGGAGCTTCTGTGAGTATACTATATAATTTTCATGGTGCTTCCTGTCCATTATTTAATGATTCCACACACACTACAGGACTTAGTTACTCTCTGCTCCCAATTTAAAGTCATTGTCATCTTAAATTATACATGTATATGATATGTAACTAAATAATGTATATATTATATTACTTATTATATGTTCTATACTTATTATATATTCTTAAAGAAAACCATTGACTTGTTTCTCCTTGCCTGAAAATCACCCAAAAAGGGGTGAACTATTTGGTCTTATGCTGGAACTTTACTTGGAAGTTACTCAGACTTTTTGCAGTTACTAGTCCAGATATGAAGTTACTGATCCCGTAAGAGTAATAAATAATATGGCTTAAAATATGTGCATGATTGACTCTGGCTTGCCCCTTGAGAAATGCGCACATTTTCTTAAAATATTTATCCAGCAAAGACTATGAAGCAACCTCCACTACAAGGTCCACTAGAAAACCTAACCAACCATAGAAGAAAGAAAAGGGAAACAAGTTTCTAAAATGGCATCAATGGCATTTGACCAAATAAACCCTTGCTCTTAACAACGTGTATTTTGGCAGCCTAAACAGTCTTGTGTGCACAAGAGTTGTACGGAGAGACTTCTACCATCAAAAAATAAGAGTGTGCTGTGAGAGTTCATGCAGTTGTGAGGGACACAGGGGTCCTTCGCATGCTAGTTTTTAAAAGAAAGATACCCACGTTGCACCAATCCGGGCAACATGGGAATCTTCGACAATTGTCCCATTACAGAAAAATAGTTGTCTACAGGAATGAAAACAGACATCTGCCTCACAAGCCACCAGGCAGTCAGTTCTACCAGGAAAAGAACTTACAAATAACCCAAGCAGTAAACCTTAAACAAATAAGCACACAAGTTTCCCTTTCAAACGCAAACTTATGGTGGCTTGATGCCAAAGTGTATATACTTCTTAGAAAAACTTTATCATTGGCATAAATGAAAGAGGCAGTTTGATTTGTGGTTAGAGTAGTTTCCATTTTACTTCCACTGCAACAAATGTATTAATTCAGCTCAGACTTCCTCCTTCTGGCAGCTCTTGTGCTGTAAAAAGAGAAATTAGAAGTTCCAGCCAAATACCATACCTTGAACTGACCCACTTCAATACATAAACACTTTTACAACGTGTTTATTCAGGTGTCGCCCTTGAAATCGGTTTAAGAGTTTCCAGCGACAGAGAGCTCGGCAAAAGAAAAGAAAACGTGAACTGAGAAACTTCACTGCTGTGGAAGAGAAAAACTGGCAATCTGTTCTTCATTTTTTTTGTCCTGTTTTGAAATATAACATAAAAAAGTATTTGTTGAAACTTTTACTTTGATATTTTAACGAAGTGTTAATTTAACAGTAGCTGGACTTTACTTGTATACGTTGATGACTGCAGGGACCATTTTTAATATATGATCTTTCTGATTCTGAAACTGGTTACTCTGAAAACTTCGCAGTGGAAAAATTGGGGTTGCTACTCATTATAACTTACAATGACTTTTATAACTAAATAGACACTTAACTCCAAGCTCCAAGTTTCCTCCAGTTTGCAACGTTTCTTCTTTTTTTTTTTTTTTTAGTTCTAAAGATTCTCAGTATTTTTATTTTTAGCTAAAGAGAAATAACACTGCTTTACAAATTCACATTTTGAAGATTATAAAGATGTTTGTAACAAATAACAGTTTTCTTGGGATTTGCAAAGGAAGATATTATATATGAAGCAAAGTAGCCCTTCAAATCAATGTGAATTCCCCTCAAAAATAACTTTAGTATTATTAAATTTCTTCTTGTTATCCTTTTTATTTCAGCAATGAAGTAACACTTAAGATTTTGTAGTTCATGATTGCTCCATTACCGTTGGCCTTGAACTACATTATTAAAGCATTATCTATTTGATCTACTCCTCTAGACACTGGTTATGTTGGTTAAACCTTTTGAGTGACTGGTCAACTCTTTTCAGTCAATGTGTAAACAGGATCTTAGAATCTATTACATGTAATAAAAAAGAGTGAAACTTTTATATATTTTATTATTTTTTATTTATAATTAAATGTATACTATTAAAAATGTGCAGTACTGGAAATATAAAACTGACAAAGCCTAAACCATTTTCACTTAGGGCAACTGTGTTGGTATATTACCAATGCTTTTCAAAGCTGACCTTGTTTTTGAGCTATTTCCAAGTTAGAAAAATAGACACAATGCCAGAAAAGTGGATTGAATATTTAATGGCTATTAAAATGGCATGTGAAATTAAACAACCATTTATATAGGAGTGGTAAAGATTCTAGCCTGAGTTGACAGTTAGGCACTTCAGCACCCATGTGTATTATGGCATAGCTAGAACATAGCAGATTCAGTCCAACAGGACTACATTTGAACAAAGACGCAGCCTACAGAATAGGAAAAGATTTTACCATACACATATGATAGAGCAAAAATGTCCAAAATATATTTTAAAAAACTCACAAAACTAGGTATAAAGTAAACAACCAGTGGGAACTAGAAAAGATCATCCTGAGTGAGGTAATCCAGAACCAGAAAGATACATATGGTATATACTCACTTATAAGTAGATTTTAGCCATATAATATAGGATAAACATACTAAAATCTATAATCCTAAAGAAGATAAACAACAAGGAAGACCCCAGGGAAGAGGCTGAAACCTCACTCAGAAAGGCAAACAAGATAGACATCATAAGTAGGGGAAGACAAGGAAAGGACAGGAGCCTTCCACAGGGGCCTCTGAAAGACTCTACCCTGCAGGGTAGCAAAGCAGATGCTGAGACTCATAGCCAAACTTTGGGCAGAGTGCAAGGAACCTTATGGAATAAAGGAGAGATAGAAAGACCTGGAAGGGACAGGAGCTCCACAAGGAGACCAAGAGACTGATACCCCAACCAAGGACCATACATGAAGAGGACCTAGACCGTCTGCACAGGGGAAGCCCATAGGCTGTTCAGTTTCCAAATGGGTTCCCTAGTAAGGAGGGCAGTGGCTGTCTTTGACATGAATTCAGTGGCTGCCTCTTTGATCACCTCCCCCTGGAGGGTGCAGCCTTGCCAGGTCGCAGAGGAAAATGATGCAGCCAGCCTTGATGAGACCTGATAGGCTAGGGTCACATAGAAGGGGAGGAGGTCCTCCCCTATCAGTGTGGACTAAGGAAGGGGTACAGGGGGAGAAGAGAGAGGGTGGGTGGGACTGGAAGGAGATGAAGGAGAGGCTACAGCCAGGATATAAAGTGAATAAAT